GAGAGAGAGATAGAGAAGACAGAAACTAACACACTGCCAAACCTCTGTCCTTGTCAATTCTTTCACAAGAAAATCATGGCCTTTCAGAGCCAATCTGTAAATGACTCATTTGAACTCAGGCATCTAAAAGTAGCTGATTACTTCTTTAATCATTCAATAGTAATTACAAATATATGTATGATTGGGTGGGGAATCACCCTGTTCTATATTTCAATCAAAAGTAAACACTTCGGATTAGATCCCACGACTTCAAAATACGTGTCAAGACGCTCGCCCACTTGGTGTATGAGCTGCAACAGGCAACTTCAGTTACAAAACCTGATGAGCATGGACATGGAATACATTGCACAGTGCTACACACCTGTCTGTGCTGTTCTCATTTGGTGACATTTTGGGAATGCCAAACATGGTGAAGTGTCGACGCATGATAAAGCTCGGAGCGATGACCCGGGTGTATTTGTTCCCAATGTCCACAACAACCTTGGACCAAAGAACCTCTGAGCAGGAGGCATCACACGAGAACTTCATACAGTGAGAGCAACGTGGGAACACTGTACCAGAGTGCAGGATACTGTGCAGCCGTAAACACACATCTTTGTAGTTCAGCCTCAGTCCATGCACACTTGGAAAATCGAAATCACACACAGACACCAGCTGTGTCCATTTTTGTTTCCTAAAACCAGACTTCAGATCACTTTCACAACTCACTGCTGACACAACTTCAAATTCAATGGGCACCACTCAAAACCACAAACTAGATAGCCAACAATATCAGCAATGGGAGATAACAGATGCTGACCAAGGAAACCACACAACTGAAATTCCTCTACACCCACAAACATCACATGACTAAACTCAACATTAAACTAATCTTAACGATTAGAATGATATCAGTACACTACTGTGGATGGAGGTCATATATTACTTCATCTTGCTATAACCCGATTTCAAATGGGTTTATTATGTAAACATGCAAAACGCCTGGATGTTATTTAACTGAATACGCATGCATTGCTTTCAGCAAAGAACATCAAAATTGTTTCCAAATTCTGTAATATGGATGGTAAAAATTACGTTTGATACGAACTCTTACTGTGCTATCACACGGTTAATTCAAAAAGGAAGCCCACGTTTAGGACACACTCTCTGTATCGGTCGTCATTGAAGGAAATTGTTTCAAACACGTCTGCTGCTACCAAAATTTTGATCGGCGCTTACAAAATATTACATTTACTTCCATTATAGTGACATCGACCTCATTCTCTTACCACAAATAATCCAAACTGACGATCTTATTTAGATACTTGCAAGTACATCCCAATGATAATATATCTTTTACTTGGCAGTACTTGAGTATTTTGATCCATATTTCTTCTGGAAAAATTGATGGATCCATGCAAAAAACTTCAAGACTCATAACAGTGCATATAACACACACACAACCACAAACTAAACCGCCGCCACCACATTGCGAACAACATTAACTCTTGTAGAGCATTCGTACATATCGAATACCAACATTACATAAGAAATATGTAAATGGAAATGTATTTCTTCCCAATTAAAAAAATATCGACTATATTATATTAGATAATCATAGCCAGAAAGTATAAACACAGATTACTCCCAGTACTATGTCTTCCCAAAAAATAAAGCTTATGAATATTTCAATTTATAATGATGCAACTTTCGCAAAAATTACAGGACAGAAACACCTATATACAAATCGTCAATTCAGTGTTCTAATTTGGTAGCACATGTGGCGTATGACGTCAAATACGTATTATGCTGCCATCTGCCCACTTAAAGTTAGAACTACTGTAAACACGATCTCTCGGCAATAATCGGTATTAAACCATGGTTGAAACCGGTTCGAACAACTTAATCGATAGCAATGTTAACTACAATCTAACATACACAACCCCATTACAGGTCACAAGTTCATTTTACAAATCTGGTAGTCTTCTGAGATTGTGCACAATGTTGTCCGGTGGAAACCGACCTACTGACAGGGCAGCAGCACACACCTCTGAAACTGTGGCAATGTATGTGAAAATGATAAGGTTAAAGATTGCACTGTGAGACTGAATGGCATAATACATGTCTTGAGCAATTATCCAGTAATAATTAGTCTGTAATCATGATAGAACAAACACTATATTTCTCACATACTTGCCAGAGTGACCATGACATGTGATCCACTGGTCCAGTTACAATGCAGAATAAATCAGGGTTGTGTGATTGCAGCACCATGTCACATCAGAAATGTCTTCCTTCCAAGTGCTTTTTCAGTAGTCCAAACAGGTGCAATTTTTTTTCTGTTACAGGATCTATGGGGTGCACATTGTCATGGAGAAGGATCACATTCTCTGTAAGCAAACCAGGATTGGAAAAGTGATGTGAGGATAAGATTGAAATGTAGGATTTGAGTGAAAGAGGTTAGAGGATGCACACTGGATTGAACTGGTTTAGGATAAGTCTCAATGGCAAAGTTTGGCATAGCAGAAATGTATATTCACGGAGTGATGGGAGATGCAACTCAAGCCTATCTTGTTTGGCACAAGACACATTCACTATGGCACATTTAAATGCCAGCCTAAGCATGTGGTCAAATGGCCAATGGCATAGGCACCACCACTTTTAAGCAATTTCCTTGGTGAAACAGTTCTATGGTATGAAAATCAGTAAATCATTTAAACTCTTAGACAAAGTTTTCTGACAACTTGGTGAGACACTGCCACCATCACTGATGCTGAACTGACAAGTACAAGTACTGCCAGTGGCAGTACACGTGTTAAAATACCAGACATTTCCAAGTTCGGAAACGACTGATATGACATCAGACTAATGTGACAGAGAACAAAGATGGTAGATACCTTATTGGGTCACATTTCTGCTCTGTGTTCATCACAATTAGATTCCATTTCAAGGTTAGGTTAATCTCTTTGAGGACACATCCAGTTACCCAGATCAATATTTACAAATTATGTAAGCTACAGGAAATTAAAATGGAAATGACTGAAGTGGCTCATTTCACTGTAGTCACACAAAGCTATACATCTTTATTGTAACAAATATAGCAACTCTGGTTCTACAAAAATATCATCCATACTATAATAAAGCACTCCTGTCAGAACTTGTTTCTGCTCCAATGACTCCTGCGACTGTCACAACATGCCAGTAAGGAACCAAAGTTTCAAGATAAAGAATCACTGTTGCACAAGTGCTGGTCACTTTCTGCAACATCACACTGGGTCAATGACTTGGACCCTTTTTTGAACCGAAATTTAAAATGACTCCATGCAAATGTACTGTTGAAATTTTCTTTAGTGCTTGGTAAGAAGTGCTCACTCAAATACAACATAAATTGCATTTGAATTGAGAACTCCTTACCAAGCACTAAACAAAATATATCTCATTACGTCCTATAAATTTTCATCTGAAATATTTTGCACACTGCTTAACATTTAATAAAATATATCTCAAAATGTACTAAAAACTCCATTCTAAGTAATAACCAATTATGAATTGATATAAAAATTACATTAATTAACTGGTTCTTTTTGAGAAGCCAACAGTTGCTGGCCTGACCAGAAATTCACACATTTTATAAAATATAAAAATGAAGTGTGGATTTCAAATGCTAATAAAAATTCTAGAGTAAAAAATTTGTTTAGCGAGTTGAAGAGACATACAAACAACTATGATGATATCACAAATGTATACCTAAATGTTTGTGGAAAGTTGTGGACTACAAATGAGGTATCACCCCTTTTCAACAAATGTACAAGACATGTGACTTCTTGAACTGTGATAACTTCAAGTTTCAGTTTGCTTCAAGATCCAAATGAGGTACAGGTGACAAGGTGGCCAAAACAGATGGGATGATTTCAGAAATCTGAAAATATAGTAAAATGTTTATTTAAAACTAGTGAGATAGTGAGCTAAGAGTCACAGGCAGAGTTGCTATGGAAACACAAATTCTGACACGTTTGCTAACATAAGGTGTATACGAATGATGAATACTCTACCCAGACACTGAACACCCTAACAAGTTGTAAAAATGGACGATACTCTTCATATTGTCACTTGCTACCAACCTCAGACCTGTCTATGCCCTGTTGGTATTATTGACTAGATTCTTGTCGCCACAACACACACATCAGTTCGTTGATATTGGAAAGCTGGTGCACACCGTGTTCTTTCACCATACAATACCACAACACACATCACAGCTGTTAATAACGTAAAACACACAAGCAATATGGAAGAAGTTCCATGTTATTGGCCATCATATACAACACACCAAATATATAATAATTATCGCTTTCATTTCTGTAACACCTTGTCTAAAATATTTATTCAGCCACTGTTACTCTATTAATATCTGAAACTTAATTTACTCCTTGAAGGCAAGTAGCAGGCATGGTTGACCAGTACAGTCTAACAGAGCTGCCACAAGTAGACTCAAATTTTACCAACTATGGTCCTCCAATGAAATTCTAACTTACCCACTTGCATGTGTGTTAAGTGTTTCATGCATGCATACAACATGCTGTTGTGTTCTTTGAGAAAGGGGACAACGCTTATCAGACGCTAAGTCTACAGATACAGTGGGAGAATACCAAGTATGTTGTGCACTTATATGGAAAGTGCTCAATCTTATCCCATAGCGTACACAATATGCAACAGTTATAATGATCATAACAAAATTTAAACACACTTACATGATGGAAGTGCACAAAAGTTTCAGAAGCCACAAGGCAAGTGAAACCTCGAACGTTTCCTGCGGCCGTCCTCTGTGTCTCTAAGCCCAAAACAAGCAACAAACTGCAGCAATGCTAATGCCATCTCTGAACACATACAAGCATAAATCACATAATTTTATACCAGTCTCTAAGCATCAGCCAGATCAAATGATAGGAGGCATTGCTCGAGTGTTTCAGTTGGTTCACTGACACAGAAAGAATAATATGCCAAAATACTGTCATTCTATAATCACAGATTCCACAAATGTTGGGAGGTGACAATTCCTGCAAAACAGTCACACTGTGACCATCATGTTAGGCAACATATGAGAGCTAAACAAATGCAATGCATGAGAATAATGAGAACCTGCAACAAAAAAGTACCTTAAACTCACTTTGTCACAAATGTGGAGAACAGCAAATAGCTTTCAATAAACTTCGGTTAATTTTTCTAAGAAGATGAAGAAACGACAAAAGTTTGGCTGTACTCTATTTTAAAGCATTAGTCCTTGTGTTTTGTACAGTAAAGAAGTATTTAAGAGATGCCACAGCTGTTCATTTTCAATACGGATAGGCAACACTGACAGGCAAGCGTGGCTGAAAACCAAATCTACTCAACAAGCTACAATGTGCGTCTCCTTTCTCAAACAAAACATGACAAATGAGACCTTAGCTGTTTCACGAGATTCACAGAGCATGTCTGAAGATCGGAGTCAATAAAATAACTTGCTGTTCTCAAATTTTCTTACAAATCCCACTAAGAACAGAGTTTATGTTGGTCCACTGTAGGTTGTTCTTAACAGATATACAAAGAGAATGCCAACACCTTGAGTATCATTAAAAATATTTGTATCCACACACAACAGCAAGTCAGAAAGTCTGTCCAGCATTTTGTTTAAATTGCCTTATGTGGCAAGCAAATTAGAACAACAGTCACAAATGAAGCAACGTACATAAGTGAAACATGAGTTACAAGAAGAAGGTGACACATAAATAAAATGTCACCAAGGAGTTGCTACATGCGCAATCAAAAGAACATGAACATCTGACATCAACACACTGAATGTACCTAAACACAACACACACTCTCCTCCCAAAAGGAACCCTCAACACGTTCACTGCACATTTACTGAAATAAGATTACTTTCTCCTATGTCACAACAACAGTGAACAATACAAGAAATCATGATTAAAGGTTGGATTTAAATTTATCTTCCAACGTAAGAGTACGTAAGTGCCACGATACTATTGAATACATCTGATTATAACAGATGTGGGAACAAACTTTCTTCAATTTAATCTTAATAATACGTGGAGTGTGCATTATATTCAGGGAAAAATTAAATTCTGGCAAATATGTTAAGCTAGGCAGTGTTGTCTTACTGCAAAGTGGTCAGATCAAACACAGAACTGACAGCATCCAAAGTATGGCATTAATTATGATGAGAACAACATGTGAGCTGCCAACATCTGGACAGGCAGGTTCACACCGTACACCAGCTGGGCTTATGAGCTGTCTGTAGACCTCCTGAGCCACTTGGGATTGACAGCAGTGCCACTCCTCTCACACACCTGACATACAGCCATGCAAACACGTCCATGGATCGATCAATCACCTGCCCAGCTGACCTCATGCTTCTTTCCACTTCATTCCTACTGCCTGTCCCATCACACGGATGCTTCGTCAATGACGGTGATGACTCGCTTTGGGCCCGACATGAGGCGCCACGTATTGCTTGCTCGAAACGCGGGTAACTCCCGAGAGCCCCTTCGCGCCTCATGGTGAGCACCTGTTGCTGCCTCCCCATCATCCACCTTCACTTCAGCTGTTGTGTCGTCTGCCGGCCGCGTGTTTTGCCTGCAGCACAGAAAGAAACCTCAGGTACAGAATGCCATTAAACTGTATTTATGAACATTTAAAAAAAAACCCGATTATCTCCAGACCACATAAAATATGGATAAGCTTTTTATTTTTTTAAAACAAAGTGCCCACTATACACCATATAGGCGCTTGAGGGGGAGAGGTGGTATAGATGGGGGTGAGTGGTCAGCATCATGCCCCGGCCATGCTTTACTCCCGGGAAAGGACAACGGTACCCATCGGATAGGAGGCTGGGTGGGCCCCAGAAACG